CTTATGCACATGTATCTGCACAAGGTTAGAATAATGCATGTTTCCCGCATTTTAGTTCAACATATCGCATCCCGTGTAGCGACATGATGTTCGTGGAGCAACATAGTCCGCGTATAATTGAAAGATGGTTGGTATATTTTTCTTTTCATCTGAAGTTTGCATGATTGACACGAACCAAGCATACTCTATGCCAACAGAATGGGCTATAATTTAGCCAAGATATAGCAATTTTAGCAGGGTCATCTATAAGCGAATGGATTCCGTAATACAGAATTTGGCTTACGAAATAAACGTGGCACGATGCCAAGCTATTGATATTAATACTAGTACTGGCTATACCCGCGAGCACCTCGCGTCACGCGAGGCGGATTTCCAATATCTCTTCGGCTACGAGAAAAGGGCGGCCTGGCCAGGGTCCACGCAGTCAAGTGATTAGCTAGACGGATAAGAAAAGGTTCCTGCCCGGAGTATAGAGGTCTTACTATTGGTATTATAGGTCCATTTGTACGTAAGCTTAAGTACTTTATGTCTTGTTACCCCAGCAGCGGCTAAAGCCTATACATACTTGAATCCCCACAAGTATTTCCGCAGTATAAGACGCGATTATTATAGGGAATAGAAAAGCATCAAATGCAATTTATTCGACATTATACAGCATTTCATGTCAGGTTTAGACAGGGAATACAATCCTAATAAGAGGTTTTGTGTCACTATCTTACGTTTGACTTGAGACTTTATCGCAAATGTGATATGTCACTTTATTATATACGTAGCTTGTGAAGATTGGCAGCAAATATATCGAAATACATATATATACACAAAGTCACGGTTCCCCTAGGTCAAGATATCAGTTCAATACAACTTGTGACATCTCCATCTCATTTATCAATTCCTTTTTTCTTTCTTTTTTTTTTTTTCCAAAAATGAAGGCCATAATTTGGTGCCTTAGCATGGCCACGATGGCGGCGTGGTCATTCGCTCGCCCTCTTGTCATTGACAAGGCGACCTTTGAGCGACATGGCGGCGATGTCAACAACGTGGCGATTAGTATCAAGACGCACAATGAAGAGTTACGTGCCTCTAGCTACGAAACACCCTGGCTTGTCGTTGGCCGCATAAGTGGCTGCACCGCAACATGGCTTGGCGAGAAAGACGATTGGACTTATGTACTTACTGCGGCACACTGCGTCGCGTATCAAGGCACCGAAACGGCCATAAGCAAGACCTTTACCGCACCTGGAGGGCAAGTCATTGCATCAGGCAAAGGTACCGTGTACGTACCACGGCAACGGGTCAAAAAGCCAAAGGGTATGGGGGGTGCTTCTACCGACATCGCCATCCTCAAGTTGCCCACTCGCAACCCGATGGTCGACAAGGACGGCAGGTCGTTAGAGCGGCCAATCCTCAACGACGCGCTAGACGAGAAAGGCAGAGATGTCATCTTTGTTGGTTACGGAAGCTGGGGCGTCGGCTTGAACGGCAAAGGCGCGTACGGACCATCGCAGGGCGAGCGGCGGCTGTACGGGCGCAGCCGCATCGACAGCATTTTCGAACTCGAACATGGAATCGCAGCGAGCTACAAGCCCGTAGGGCCATCGCCATTCTGGGCGCGGACGGCCCCGGGCGACAGTGGTTCTGCTTGGTGGCAGATCCGCGAGGGCAAGCCAGTGATTATCGCGACAACCAACGGTGGCCGCCCAACCGAAGCGACTGGCGCGCGCGTGTCAAAATATGCCGCCTGGATCAAGTCCATCTACCCGGAGGCGCGAATCTTGTCAGCCGAGAAGCCCCAAGGTTGCATTGTTAGTCTGCATACAAAAGCGCGGTATTGCATGTCTGCCGGCACGACGCCCGAGCATTCTCTGCCATGGTGGATATACGAGCATGAAATCTACGTGGATGCTGCGCCAGGCACCGCAGTGATGCTATCAGACTTTGACAATCTTTCGTATAACCGAATCGCAACTTTTGTCGGGACAGTCGAAAACGAAAGGCTCAAGTCGGTCAAGGCAGCCAACGGGAAGCACCTCGACTTCTCGCGGCCGCACTCGATGCGCGTGGTGAAGGATACAACCCCAGTCGGCTGCATCACGAGCCTGACAACCAGCGCAAGCTATTGCTTGCCTCCCGAGCAGCAGTCGGAGGGCTCGCTGCCGTCCTGGATCTACGCGCATGACGTGCAGGTTGAAGCCGCGCCGGGAACCGCAGTCATACTATCGGACTCTGATAACCTCCCGCAGGACCGCCTCGGAACGTTTACCGGATTCGTTCAGAACTGGGACTTGACCAAGGTGAGGGCCCTGAATGGGGAAGATTTGGACTTTTCGCGGCCAAAGTCGATGCGGGTCATCCGGCAATGAACTTAACTTGCGGGTCTTTGTGGCCATGTTTAAGGTTAGCTTGTTGTAACGGCACGCGGGAGCAAACGAGATCAAATGGGACTTGATGAAAGCCATAGTCGACGAGATGAGCAACAGATATTTCCGAGGGGGGCCATTGATATGGCCGTGGTTATACTATAGCGGGATATCACGGGCCCGAAGCTAGATTGCGAGTTCGCTTTAGCTTGATAAATTAATTCAAGCTGTTACATTAGTGAATGCTTTGGAAGACTAGTGATTGGTTAGCTGAAAGACGAACGGAACGGCCAAAGTAGAATGCAAATGGCTGATTACGACTTATGAACCTGACGACTTGGCTGTTACGCGGAGGGCACGTTGCCATCAAGGCATGGCCCGTACCTTGAGCCTGACGATGGTTACACAAGGGAAGAGGATTTTCATCATGTTGTGGACTCATGCTCAACCATGGGTGCAGACTTTAAAACTAAATCGGGATCTGTACACGACAATACTGTTGTTGAGTCAAAGAGGCTAAATCTGAATATTCGTGAGGCTTTCATTGAGGGGTTGGGAGGTCCGGGAGGCCTGAAGGTCGTGATATTTGCTTTTTCCAAGGTTCCAGATTAGGGCTAGGACGAGGGTTATCACAGGGGTCCCCAGAGGCTCGGTCAGGGTATAAAAGGGCCAATTTCCCGGATTTTCAGGTCATCCTTCTCAGACCTTCATCCATGATAAAAATCACCAATTTGACTCGACCATTTTATATGCAACTTTCCACTGCCCGAATTGTTGTTGATAACTCAACAACTGTACGCCCAAGGTAGCATAATGAGTGCTGTATTTTATTCCTCCGTATGTTTGCGCATCTGTGGTAGCAGCAGCAACATTCGACCAGACGCGTGGTTGTAAGATGCTCCGGCCACAAGAGTAGGTAGCCACGAACCCTACATTTCAATAAAGAAAAAGTATTTTCCTACATTTTGGGTTCCCTAAGCATTAACGTATCGTCATGAATCCTTGGACAATCGAAGCATAGCACCGATTTTAATGAGCTAATTGCATCATCTCTACGAGAGCCTCGGCCACATGTGTCGCAAATTGCAAATCATTAACATGTCCCGGCTCTTCCACCACCTTGATTCCCGTCTGTGCTAAATTGGCCTTGATTGTGTCAAACAGGGCAGCGTCGGCGGCTTCATCGTAAAAGGGGCCGCCGGGAACAGCCAGCATGCTCACACCACCTTTAGGAATCCAAACCTGGGTCAAGGCGGTGTTTTTTGACGCTTTCAACTTGTTGCAAATAAACTCTGCAATGGACTTGCAGTCGCTCTCGGATGATCGAACCAATGTCACTATGGGGTTGTGCTCTACCTGCCTTCGATGCTGGTATTTGGCCGGCACCGAGGCCTTTGGGCCAAAGTTGGCCATGTCCAAGGCGCCGAGTGATACGATGTTGGGAATTCCCGCTTCTATAGCGGCGTCGAGTCTCTCGTCCCCAGCAGACATTTGCCCCCCCATTATGAAATCGCAAATCTCGGTAGTTGTGAGATCGATCACAGCATCTATTTGGCCATTGCGAATGAGGCGCTCCATGGCCCTCCCCCCGTGGCCCGTCGCGTGAAAGACGTACGTTTCAATCGGAAAGCGGGATTCCAAAAACCTTCTTATGGCATCTACCCCGGGTGTCGTGACCCCAAACATGGTGATGGCGACTCGCTTCTTGGCGGGCGATTCCCGTGGTCGCTGCTCTCTTCGCATCGAGTACGAAGACGCGGCTCCAGCGATGGCGGCGGCGGCGTTGGCCAAAATGTCGCGGAGTACTTGATTCAGACCGGCAACATCGACGACAGAGTACATCAAGGTGATGTCGGTCTCGCCGATGATGGGACCCGTATCGCCACTGGCAATCGTCGACACGATGAGCTTGGGGAATCCGATGGGAAGCGCTTGGCGCATCACGGCCGAAGCCAAGGCCGTGCCGCCAGATCCTCCTGCCGAGATGACGCCATCGATGGAGCCCTTGGTGAACATGTCCTGTATCAACTTGGTTGTGCAGTCGGATACCGTTTCAATAAACTGCCCGCGTGTTCGCTCAGTGTCCGCGGCCCCTCCCGCGTCCTTGAGCAGCATGTCCGATACGCAGACGTCGACGGCATCGTGGGCGACGGGCTTGCGACCGACGTCTATCAGGAGGGTCTTGACCTGGGGATATTTACCAATCTCGTCGCGAAGAAACAGCAGCTCGGCCAACTTGGTGTCACAAGTCCCGACAATGGCAACGGTCGCCGCCATCCTGCTGGTTGAAGCCGTCGGTTTTATTCTCCGAAATGTTGGCTTTGCTCGTGGGCAACTCGGTGGCTCTCACACGCAGTCGCATCAACTCTCATTGTGGCAATTTGGCAAAGAGCTTCAAACAGACATCATCAATCGCAACTGCCCCACAAAATGCGGGGGACCGGCGCATCCGATCTGCCCACGAGTTGTCAATGTGTCGACATGGATACATCATGGCGAGCTGGAGGCATCTCAAGAGCAGAGGACTCATTTGGAGCTTCAATTTTATATATTCATTCAACCGATTCTTCCTGCTGAAATAGCCGACACACCGCACGCAAATTCACCAAGCCAGTTCGTCTGGTGTAATCTCACACCGTCAAAATGCCGCCACCCACAAGCAGAAGGGAAATCCTGGCCCGTCTTCGGTCACAAATACAGCAAGGCAAGCCCATAGTAGGCGCGGGAGCCGGCATTGGACTCTCAGCAAAGTTCATCGAAGAAGGAGGCGGCGACTTGATCATTATATACAATAGCGGCCGTTTCAGAATGGCTGGTCGGGGATCCTTGGCCGGCCTCATGCCGTACGGAAATGCAAACGACGTCGTCCTCGACATGGTAAGACGCAAGTCTTGAGGCTCCCCGGAAACTGTCCGTTTCTAACAGAACAAACACTAGGCCAATGAAGTGCTGCCAATCGTCAAATCTACCCCCGTCATCGCCGGTGTTTGTGGTACAGACCCGCTGAGAAACATGACCTTCTTTTTAAAACAGTTGCACGACATGGGCTTTTCAGGTGTCCAGAATTTTCCCACCGTGGGACTCATCGACGGCCAGTTTCGCGCCAATCTGGAGGAGACGGGCATGTCGTACGACCTGGAAGTCGACATGATTGCCATGGCTCACAAAATGGGCCTGCTTACGACTCCTTACGTCTTCAACCCGCGAGAAAGTGAAAAGATGACTCGCGCGGGAGCCGATGTGTTGGTCGCCCACATGGGCTTGACAACGAGTGGCTCAATCGGCGCCACCTCGGGCAAGACCATGGATGAATGCGTAACTCTGATTCAGGAGATTCGTGATGCGGCCGTTGCTATTAACCCTGACGTTATAGTCTTGTGTCATGGAGGACCAATTGCTAGTCCAGACGACGCGCAGTATGTTTTGAGCCGTACCACAGGGATTCATGGCTTCTACGGCGCAAGCTCAATGGAGAGATTGCCGGTTGAGACGGCTATTGCGGATATCACGAGGGATTTCAAGAAGATTCGGACGTAGGGTGGCCTACCTGTGCTGCCTCGCGCGTGCTTCTGGGGAAAAATAGGGAATCAAGTTGGTTGTAAAGAGCTATCTTGCTTCTTTTCTTTTCTTCCCTGAGACTCTATTCAGTACAACCTGCAGATCCAGATAATCTGCACTTGCTTATTTGGTCGCGTCTACACTCAGGGCAATGGAGGTGTTTACCAACCGGGAATGGAGAAGGAATAACACGAAAAGTTTACTTTTCAGCATTTATATCTGATAGATCTGCGCCTAGTCTCCCAAGGAACCGTGTCAAGAACGTCATCTCCCTCACCCACCCTCAAAAGTATGTAAACCAAGATATCCAAATCGTCTTAACTTTTCTCTCAAGTTGTAGACTTGACAGCACATATTTCTTCCCCCTAGGCATAATCGTGATTCTCTACACAGCTCAAGTCTTTGAGATACAGTCCAAGTGAAGGAGGGGCATAATGACTTCGCAATTTCGTTACAACTACGGCTCGCTAAAGATGACATGATATGCAATATCTTGCAAGGCGTGAAATATTCATCTTTGACCTGAAAAATGCACATTTACACGCTGGAATAATACCAGGAACCATGCGCCCAGTCTAAACCCAACACGTTGTCTACGATGACGCAAATTCTTCCAGATGTCCCTTGCCTTACCTTCAACGTCCCTTTAGGACTATATATGCCAATTTGCAAACTAGACTGGGCAATAAAAACGCCGACTACGTGGGTCCGGGGGACACGCCGGATTGCTGGTATTATTACGGCATGTGGGAACTTGTCCTTGCTACAGGGAGAAAGCGTTTAACCGTGACAAGTTTCAAGAACAAGAAGTAACGTTACCAACAGGGCAATAGGAGAAAGATGCAAAGCCGAATTAGGAGAACCTCGTTCTATCAACCTTCCCAAGTAAGCAGGTGGCGCTGGAAAAGAGTGGTGGGACCATCCGAAAGGGCTTGCGGAGTTATTCCATGTCAGGAACGAGTCTGGTCTGGTCCTTTGAAGGCGTAGTCGATACAAGCCATGTGTTACGCTTGTCCCCGGACTCCCCGCCATTGCCGTGAGAGGACAGGGGATGTCGAGTCGAGTCCCAATGGAACGGACCATGGCTGCGCCCGGCAGTGTGGGGGAGTTTGGGGTTGAATTTGGGGTCAATCTGGTACGAAATTCCATGTCCTGCTTGGGGACGCAATGGAGCTTGTGGGCAGCAGTTACGGTAGCATTCGGCCGTGGACACACAGCCATTGTCTGCCGTCATGGGTGTTGAAATCCGTCAAGTCTCACAATCGCCTATTGGACAACTCCCGGGGAGAAGGAAGAGGCAGGATGGGCGGGTCAACATGATGCCTGATAAGGGGTATTTGCCCACGTTGCACAAATCATGTTGTGGGAATTGGTGCGACCTTGTTGTGCAATGCAAGTAAATTCTGCCCATATCAGTCATGTGTTGCTTGCGCGTTGGTGCAAGCCACGATGCAGGACGAGGCACATGGAAGAGGAGGCACCAGTTGACCCTTCTTTGCGTCTCTTCCCTCGGTCCATTATGCCAGGCGCGCACGCGACATGGGGCGAGCAAAGCTGCGTGTTGTTTGTTTACAGCGAGGCGGGCGCAGTCATAGTATATTGATCCAAACTAGTGCGCATGTCTCAACCATCTCCAGACACGGCGCCGCAGGTTTTATTCTTTTCTCGCTCCCGCCAACGTGCATGTTATGCTTCATAGTCAGTCAAGTTTCGAGTTATTTTTACATTGTGGAATGCCTGCGCCAAAACCCTACCGGGGAGTAGCAGTGTACGTACTGCAGCGTCATGCTCGCGCCGTCGCGTGGCTGGTCATTCTCAGCTGGATGAATACCAAGTGACCAAACGTGTGGAGTCAATCAACATGACATCTGGAAGCTCTTACTCGGCCTCGGTTCTTCCTACAGCCTTGTGCTGCCTCTTTCTGGCCTCTGTTGCTCAACACATGGATTTTTCATGTGTCGACGAATTTGGGTAAAGCAGCAAACCAATCGACCATGGACTGCCAGAGTTGACCATTGTTGCCAACAAGGATTGCCGTCCCGGCACAACGTAGTCTGTCGCGTGAACGACCAGCCGACTTGACGGGTCAATACACATTACACATTCCATCTAAAACATGGTACCCCCAAATGCACAATCCTACGCACGGCGTCAATCGCATGGTTATGCCGGAGCCGCGCTCACCACCATGTGCATTGGGAGGCAGCAAGTAACATTGCTTGCCTTGACCAACAGCAGTCCTCACGTGGCACCATCACCTGGTGTATGCGACCAGATGGATATCCTCATGGAAGCGTCCAACGTCACATACACCTTCCCAGAATATCGTGATTCCCAAAGTGGATAAGTGGCTTCTAATCCATCAAAGGACATGTACCATCTTGGTCATTCGCAAGTCTTCGGTCAAGATATATAGGTGCGTCTCTTCACCCTTCATCAATGAGAAGGGGAGCGGTCAAACTAGCCGATCCTGTTCTCTCTTCTTTACTCCGTTACCCAGTGGTCTTGGACGGCTTCAATACCTTGTTCTGCTTTTTAACTGTTCTGGATTGTACAAAACGGATAAAGCGAAAGCAAATCTCGACCATGACGTTTCCCGTCCACACGTGGCCGTCTATCGCCAGCATACTGGCCATATTGCCAGCAACCCTCGCTGGTTTCAACTCTGGATCGGGCAAGAATGTGGCCGTTTACTGGGGCAAGTGTTTCGACGTCTGATCAATTTATACCTGGCTACCTCTAACCTGTAACTAGGCCAAAATTCCTACAATCAAGGCAGTGGTCCGCTTGCCCAACAGCGCTTGAGTTATTACTGCTCTAGTGAGAACACCAGCCCAGAGCTACTTGACTTGGAGCAAATGCTAACTTTGCTTTCGCTAGACACCGAAATTGACGTGAGATGATTACGATTGAGAACAAATTCAGATACATGCTTACATCTGCAGGTCATCCCCGTCGCCTTTATGAACGGCATCAGTCCCCCCATCACCAATTTTGCCAACGCTGGTGATAATTGCACCGCCTTCCCCAGCAATTCCAACCTCCTCAGCTGTCCCCAGATTGAGTAAGTCCTACAAACGCTCCGGCCCCGTGTATCAGTACGCTTACCCTTTGAAGAGCGGATATCAAGTCTTGCCAGGCGACCAATGGCAAAACAATCATTCTCTCTCTTGGCGGCGCGACCTATGGCCAAGGGGGATGGAGCAGTGTAAGCGCTGCCCAAGCAGCCGCTCAGAATGTTTGGGACATGTTTGGCCCCGTACCCTCGGGCAAAGCGATTGACAGGCCGTTTGGATCCGCCGTTGTCGATGGCTTCGACTTTGACTTTGAAGCCAGCACGAATAATTTGCCCGCCTTTGGTCAGAAGCTTCGCAGTCTCATGGATGCAGCAGGCGGTAAAAAGTTCTACCTCACCGCCGCTCCCCAATGTGTCTTCCCGGATGCCGCTGTTGGTGCGGCCCTTAATGCCGTGTCGTTTGATTTTATCATGATTCAGTTTTATAACAACTGGTGCGGCGTGTCCAACTTCCAGGAGGGCTCAACCACTCAAAATGCATTCAATTTTGATGTTTGGGATAACTGGGCCAAGACGACGAGCCCCAACAAGAATATCAAGCTTCTCATTGGCGTCCCAGCTGCTCCTGGCGCAGGCGGCGGTTACACGAGCGGCTCTAAACTCAAGGCTGCTATCAACTGGTCTCAAAAGTATAGCAATTTTGGTGGTGCCATGATGTGGGATATGTCTCAACTATACTCTAATAGCGCGTTCCTTGGCGAAATCGTCTCCGACATATCCAACGGGCCTACTACCACTCTCCCTCCCGGGGCCACCACCACCACTACCACCACCACCACAACAGCAACAACAACAACAACGACAACGTCATCTACTACCAGTCCTGCTCCCACAGGAACTCTCGTACCTCAGTGGGGTCAGTGCGGTGGCGAAGGCTACACTGGACCTACGCAATGCCAGCCCCCTTATAAGTGCGTCTACGGCGGACAGTGGTGGTCTTCTTGCCAATAGTATGTTGGCAAGGGCTGATTCCTACACTTGAAAATCACGGAACCGGCACCAAATTGTGTTGCAGTGTCGCACATTTGCGGCTTTTTCTATGTAAATAATGGAAGAAATTTGTAAATATTCAACTGCGTTGGCTATCTTTAGAGAGAAATATCTTATATCAGTTTCACCAGGATGAGATGTTTGGAAAAAACGTGGGTGTAAAACTATCCACTACACGTCAAGTTATAATGTAGTACGTAGGGTTTGGCGCTCCAAAGTATTTCCTTATTGTATCAGTAGAACCTATAATTGAAACCCTCGTGACAATTACACTGCACTCGGGGCTTTAGCAACAACATTTTTGCTGTTGCTAGCAATATGGGGCACCTTGAGCTGGGCGCCACCTGCCATAATACAACTGTTTTCCCCTAGTAGGTAAGTATATTTCATCTAGATTACGCAGAACCTTTAGTATTAAGAATTAGGATATGGTCGCGGTTAACCTACTTGGCTTAATCTCAGGTGCTTTGATCCCCTTTCCAGTCAAGTGTCTACACGTAAAGGGGGTTGAATTGCTAAAAGAAGATGCAATGTATAACACGTACCTTCAAAGCTGTTGGTCATGTTATAGACATTGCGAAATTGGTAACAAAGCCTACGCCGGCACCTTTTGAGCCTGCTCTAGATGAAATCTCGAGCATTACTTTATTCTGGAAGGCAATGTGATTTTTTGTCTTTTATTTTACATGATAATATATACTAAACTACCGCTACGCACTCCTCATGGCATTCTCGCTCGTACTTATAACCCCGTCTGTATATTCCCGTCTTTGTGTTCTATTCTTCTTGTTTTGCGTATATTTCACACAGCCTTTTATAAGCATGCCAAAGACAAGGAAGAAGCTACACAAACATATTAGCCACTCGTCTTGTACACAGTAATAAATCAGTTGACTTACAAAGCAAGAAAGTCAAACGCAACGACAGCCTTCTTTTGACTACAGCTACTGCCTCTGGGGAAGGCGCTGGCGCATCGGCCGCCTGTCCAATCTTGTGCCGCAAAAATAAAGGACGTGAGCCACAAGTAGGAAAAGGCCAAACCGACCATCAAACTCTGCTCGTAGTAAGAATCAACCTGGGCAAAGACAAGGTGACCTAGGTAAGCCGGAACGGTCACGGCAGCCTGTGTTTAGGCTTATTAGCGAAACCTTAAAAAACAACAAGCTGCGGAGCTTTCAATGCTTACCACAGTTTCTTGAAATATGACATGAGTATTCTGCGCTGATGTGCGGTGTAGGAACCAGCCAAGTATGCCAGTCACAATTGTAGCAGATGCAAAGACCATGAAGTGGCTAGCTTTAACAAGTACATGCAAGGCGTTGTTTGGCGGCATATTTCGAACTGGGCTCAATGCAAATATCAATACACAAGTTTTCGTTCAAGCGTATTCCTACTCAAAAGAGTGATTAATAGGCAAGGAAATTCGGCAGTTTTTTTACTTGAGCTTCTAGAAACGAGGTAATGGTAGCATCGAACGGCCGTGTAGTCTATATACTGGCCCGTAGCATCGCTTTCATAAGCGCTAGTTAAGCAGCATATGACCACATCGTGAGCCGTACCATCCTACCGCACGGGACTCTCGGACTTGTTTCCAAGAATCACATGAGATAAAGTGAATCATCATTTCCAATTCATAATGCTTTGCCAAGACCTTGTCGGGGCGGGATTGGCCAAAAGGATCAAACTACAATTCCTTCCGGCGTAGCCGCATCCGAAGCTTCCGCAACTCTACGCGAATCACCGACTACTCATAATTAGGTCTAGACTCTGTTGGATTGGCAAATCCACCTCGGTATGTAGTATATTATCACGTGATTTCTGACAGAGCATTGCTTATTCTAACTTCACAAGCCAGCTAACTCAATTTTGCATCGTCTTTTGGTCGTAAGTGGTTTATCGGGAGCAATAGTATCCGTGGCGATGACAGAGATGGGGATACACCGTAGGCAAAGCCTTTGTGCGACATTTTCTAGCCGGACTCATACATCCCGACCACAAAAATATATCACTACCGAATTTGTCTCTGCGGGCATTGAGCAGCAGCTGGCAATGTTTCTGCATAGATGCATATGAGGTTGGGAGACGATACTTGCTAGGATAGCTTCTCCTCAAGGCCGGTCAACACCTGCGACGAGGGCCAGGTTACCGAGCTTAGAAGACTTGGTTTAAGATTTAATTCAATAAGAAAGTTGAAGGTATTAGAGGTTCTTGGTTTTTCAGAAGGCCAGATCTTGAAAGTCGCTGTTGGACTGTGAGTCACTACCATCGGTTGAAAGATTGCCACTAAGCGTACCGTAATGTGAAAGGCCTCTAGCGAGTTGGTCAAGAAATAATCCCTATCCTGCTTACTACCAAAATGGGGAAGGGAGAAGAAGCCTACACACTGTAACATTGTCAATGTTACACGGAAAAGACCCAACAAAGGGGCTTCGCCGATACAGGACTTGTTGGTTACACAGCTTGAACACGTGCCCGGGCAAGAGCTCTAGTCCTGGGCGTTCCTTCTATGTATATAAGGCGGTCACCCTTCTCTTCTTCTCTCGTAGCAGCTCAAGAGCTTAGAGACCCTTCAAGATTATTATTGAATTGAGCCGTTTTGCTCCGAGCCCTCTTTCCGAGCCCTTGTCACAGTCAAGGTCAACTGGTGCCTTATGTCCTCTCAATACCCCTCCATAAAACGTTCTAGAATCAACTTGCCATCAGGAGTTGGGGATAGGAGGCACAGCCGCCGTTCAGGAAGCTTGGCCCGCTATACGTGATTTGGCTCTATATAGACCTCGGTATCAGCGCCTAAGCCTCGATTAGCTCCAACATCTATTGGCCGTAAATGGGTTGTATGGGTTCATGTCTACCGATATCTCCATTCCTAAACCTCGCCTCTTGCTGGGCGAGCTCGAATAGCTGCGCAAGCCGCTGCCTCTTCCTCGCATTCATGTCGTCTTTCTCTAGAAAATCCCGCAACTTGCTACTGGTAATATCCTCTAATCTTTTTACATCAAGGCCTAGACTTCGGATCGCAACATGTTGTTTGGCGCTAGGTTCAACCAGCAGTCGCAGAATATGTGCAAGAAGGTTAATGCGTTCTGAGTAGTAAATATTAGCCCCCCGTTAAGCCAAGAAGGGAGAACAAAAACCCATCTCACCTCGCTTGTATAAATGATCGGGCTGTCTGTGACGAACTCTCTTACTTTTTGTTAGACAGTTTGTCGGCCACCACGCTGGAGCTGTCGCTTGACCACCTTGGTAAGGATGGGTCGCCTGTTTCTTCGGTGAGAGGGTTTGTATCCATATTTTGGCAATCATCTTGCACATGGTTTGTTGGCAGCAACCGAACAAATATTTGTACGCCTTCCACATTGCAGGGGCATCATTCACTGTGATTCTGTTCTGCGGAAGGCTGTAGATTGATTCAGACGCGACGGTGAGCGGCGCAACCGTTGATGGTGTAGGAGGTGATTGACTTGACAAGGGAGTGCGTTCACTTTCAAGTCCTGGAGCCGAATCCGTACAATCAGGCGTATAGAAACTGGCCCGGTTGATGGCGCCTGGTAACGGGTCTGTTTCTGTGAACAGTATTAGCAATAAGATGTAATAGGCAGTCGGGAAAGAAGCAGCGCACCTTGACCCAACTCATTTACAACCCGACAAAACTCAACAGCGTCAAAAAACCGCGACAAAATATCGTTACTTATAGCTTGGCCATGACTATGTGAAGTCAGGAGCCTTCCATCGTCCATGATGGTAGCGAAAAAGCGATATTTCACGCGAATATTATAAGTGGGATGCAAGTTATGAGTGCTTTCTTTTGCTTAGGGGAAATAAACTTAGTATTAATTCTAACTTGGAAGTCCGTACATGCGAAAACGTACTGTTATCAAAGGATGCTTGGGGCGCGTGGTTGCCATTCTCATTGCAACTATAGTCAAGAGGGACCTCCTGTAGGGGATGGTCCTTAGTTGAAAGCGTGGATGCGCTGCCTGCTCCAATACATCGCAGGAAATATTGAGAAGAGGCAACTCCATCCAGGTCCAAAACGTTATCCAAGACCGGCTGTAACCACCAGTCTTGTTCGCAGTTGGCCTAAGCGATATGGTATCAGTGACCAAAGGCTCAGAGTCATTCGACAGAGAAAAGAAAACGGGTTTAGGAACAAGGCAGAACTTTACCATAATTTACATTTAACAGAGTAGGCCTGAAGAGCAATAGTAATTGTAGTTCTCGAGTACCGGAAGAACGTTTCCGTATTATACTGTAATATATATTGTAATATATATTGCTAGGATCATAAGCATAAGATGCCAAGTTATAGTTTGTAGCAAGTTTATTGATCAACCGAACTATCAACATTGAAGCGGGTCTGAAATTACGTAGACTTACTGTAATAGAAGTTTTAATATGCTACCAAGTTAAAAAAGCTACGTTCCACCCGTGGCACACCTGACGCGAGTGAGGCGGCCAGTGTGCCCAAGTGCGTTTTGGATTATTCATAGCTTTGTAGGGTCAGGGTTAGCTCATTAGATGTCGACGGTAGCCGCTGGAAGGAATTCTTGGCGGCATCAAGGGGAAACTAGCCTGTTCAATGTTACTTCGGTGACTTGGCTGACTACGTAGGTCCAGTGGTAGCATGAAGACAGTCCAATCAATAGCCGAGAGGCTTGATGTTTTCACCACATCCCTGCGGGCGTGTGTATTATGGAGCATCGCATTATGATTACTGTTGGCCATTTACCAATTAGACCAGCCACGTGGTTCTGGCACTTCCTCTCAAGGTGCAGTGTCTGATACCCGGATGGGCTGCCTTTTTCCTAGAGATTGGCTCGGAATATGACTGCAACATCAACCGTCAACCTGAGGACATGGCACACGTGGTGAGCTAGCAAGTCATGACTCTGGAAATTAAATACGCACGCGTACCAGCTCCTTGGGAACTATACTTACTCGTGTAAACCGAAAATAATTTCGGAAAGGGCATAATTGCCCCTTTCAATTTAGCCAGTCAACGACAACGAATCGTGCCCGTTTCACAATAAGTGGTGTCACTCACCACGTGAGCGACCTCCGTCAAGATGAGCCCCCGACAGTCGGCAGTTGTCGCCGGAAATGTCATAATTCAATTTTCGATAGTGTGGGGTACTTGATTCTCGAAACATTGCGCAAGCAGGCACTCATTGGACGTCCTTATGTGCCGAAAGCGCGTCCTTCAGGTGGCTAGTATGCTCGAATACAACCATCACCCTTGATTATATCTAACCTTCGATTGGCGATGAACATCGGGTGGTCAATACCTGGCTTTTAGTTGGCTGATGGAAAACAATGCCATCTCCGATGTAGTAGCATAAAGCGAGAATGCCATTGTGATGTAACTATTGTGATATCACATTTGGTCGTCTGACTAGTGTATTGATGCGGAATTGGCTGTGATGGACATTACTCTTGCACTGTCAACATGGCCCAACGATCTTGACAATACAGTTCGCAAGTTTTATAAATAGATGGCCATGTTCCTGGGTTCTATTACCTTGAATCTCTTATTCTAACCACAACTGACAGTCATTTCCGATTATAACCACCAAACATTACGACTTGGCAAAGCAAAGCAAAGCAAAACAACAAGATGCGTCTATCACAGCTTTTATCCATCACGCTTACCAGTGCGTCCATGGTTGGCACCTTGGTGTCAGCGGCACGACTGCCGCCCATGGCTGGTAGCAACGGAGACGTGCTTGGCAAACGGCAACTGAGCGCCGCGGGCTTGCCGGACCTTAGTGACGAACAACAGGCTGAGCTTGTGAAGCTTTACAAGGCGTACTCGGGTGCCAAGGATATCAAGAGTTTCCTTGATGGCGTGAGCAATCTGCCCAAGGGCGAAGCTTTTAAGACGCTGGCCAAGGCCCTTGGAGGCGGCGCTACAGCAGGCAACGTGCGAAGCGCTCTTGACAAGACGCCTGGCAAGCCGCAAACCGTGATAATCACGTACGTTCTAGGCATTGGCAAGTGCTTAGTGGATGGCAAGTCCCTTACCGACGCAGTTGACTGCGGCAAGAACGCAGTCATCGGGCTCGGGGACCTTGCCGTCATCAAAGTCCCCGAGACGTGCAATAACCGCCTCGGCCAGTTGGAGCTTTTCGGCACGGGCTGGCCAGCACCATGCCACGATCCCAAGGCCATTGAGCACCCGCAGGGCAGTGCGGCACACCGCAGGCTTAAATGGGGGTTCTGCAGGCTCTTCGAAATAATGACCCCCGAGAGGCTTCGCAAGACTGATCAGCAAACCGGCGGATCGTGCGACTCGCGGTTCCCGACTGACCAGCAGATCAAGGACGACCTCTGCAGGAAATACTTTGGCGGCGCTCCATGCGGCGCGTCATTTCCCCTGGAAACCGAGGAGGACTTTAAGAAGGCAAAGGCTGATGAAGACAAGTATAAGAAATGGCTTCAAAGTTTCTCGCCCCAGCTGCAGTTTGAAGCCGTGGTCGGAGTACAAGGGGAAATGCCCTCCATGTTCAAGGGTAAAAACGCTGTCCCGCTTGACAAGGAAACCTGCCGTGGTGGAAAGTGCGGTGAAACATGTTCGGGAGACAAATGCTTCCCATTGCGAGAGGTCTGCGAGCCTGCGTGCGTACCGGACGAGGCTGAAGGGGGCAAATGCAACTGCGGCTGGGACCAGTTCCGTATGCAATGCAACAGCTGCCACGTCGACAAGTGCGGCGAATGCGTACTGAAGCCTATTACTGAAAAGGACGGCAAGTTCTTTGCCGGAGAGCAACCTGAGCAACTTCACGTCGAGTGCCGGGATAACGGCGAGTGCTACTTTGTTCCCACCCGGCCCTCTCCCGCTCCTGCTGCCAAGGCCTAGTGTGTCAGGGTGGAATGTCGAGTCGTGTTGTGTTGTCAAGTTGGTTCTGCCAAAAGCACGTTGAGTCTGTTGACTGCGAGAATCTATGGATCATGTTGCTTGTACTCGAGTGTTTGTTACTGCTAGTTGTTCCTTGTTTTTTTTTTTTTTTTAAAGAAATATATAGTAAAATCGTACTACATACTGTTTATTATGACCTTTTACTGTGGTATCCCACCTGTGAATTTAGTTCCAAGGCTAACGTGGTGCCACGTTATAAGACTTACAAGTTATGCTATAAAACTATAACACATATAAGAGAACTACTTATATCAGTAGACTTAAGAAAATCTAAGGGCACATAAAGATATAATAAGGATTATTTAATAGATTTATTTACTACTTTAGGCCCTTATCTAAGAAATAACCCCTAGGGTAATAAGAGGGTTGTAGCGTGGCTCTCATGCACCTCTTACGATGCACTGATACACTAACGGTCCAAGGCAGATCCATGATATGACACTGCGTGGGTTGCCATCTGCGGCCAACCAACTTGGTTGTTCTCAAGGAAGATGCTAGCAGTTTGGTTCAAAACGGAGCATTTCGGGGCTGGTAACACAAGCATCGGGTATTACCTGCCAGGGGCGTCCGCATATGCGTCAGCAAAAGCCAAGAGACTTGCATAAGGCTGCCACATGGGTCAATTCACTTTTGAGTGTCGGAACTGCCAAGGTCAAGTCGTGTATTCAAGGCAACGGCTATTATACTGCTGCCGGGCAGGCAGTAATTATACGAGGCACGAGGCTTATCTAGATAGGAGCGTGTTAAAAACCAAGAAACGAATTGTATTAAAAAGAAAGAAGATGCCTTTTTGGAAACCAACTACGCATTTATATAGTTAATACACAAGAGTGAATAGATCATAAGACCTTTCAAATTGTTTGGTGGCGTTGCCATATTGGCATAGCCGAGTCCATCTTCATATTACCCATTCCATGACACTTAAAACGGCGAACAAACCTCGCAAGCCACTACTTGTGCACATGGTTATCACTCAAGCCACATCCAGTCGACAGTTGGGCAGTCTTGGGCTCTAGCTTCCTCTTCAAGCGGCCAAGGCAAGGGCACTCATGGCTGTGCTCCGTCTCCTTGCCCTTGCCCGCCTCACCGTTCGCAAGTTGGCCCCCGGCTTCAGCTTCAGCTCCCGCAGCAGCGCAAATGCAATCGGAGGCAAACGCCCCCCCGACAGTGCTAAGGCCTTGCGGCTGATACCACGGCGGGCAGAAATCCGGAAGGGTGGGCGTAGTTTTGACCCTACCATAGGGATGACTGTCCACCATGTAATTCGATTCGCCGAACCCATCGAAGCGAATCTTCCACGTCATGGGGAAGGGCACGAATTCATCCCAGGTTGGCGTGAGGTACGTATCGGCTTCCGGTCGCAGAATGTCATCGGTGAAGATCTTGTCGGCGTCTTTATCCTTGAGACGCTTTGTTTGCTCCTTGATCCAGCTCACCCGCATGGGCGCCATGTAGTTGGCGTAGCCCTCGGGGGTGGAATCGAGGCGAATTTTCTTGAGTTTTCCCTGTGCATCGTGGCCGCGACGGGGATTCTTCATCTGAGCAACAAACTTGATCATCGAGACTAGCGAGAGAGTGGTGAAGCGTCTTGGCGAGAAGACACCATACTTGTCGGCAATGTTGAGTTGGGAAGTCAAGAATTCGACCTTGGCCGCATCGCTCTTGACCTCTGCTTCGTCAATAGCCTTTGACTATAAAATAAATCTTGTCAGTCGTGAGTTTGAGAGGGGCCGTTATTTGGACGAGCTTACAAGGTCGAGAATGACCGTCTCCCCCTTCTTTACCTGGACCTTTCTTCCCTTCGTTGTCCATCCAAATTCGTACTTGTCCGTCGTGGTGGCCTTGCGCACAATCGGCAGTCGAACCGTTGCCTGGGCCATCAGTTGGACCATCTGTTCAAGATCTCTATCGGCGTTGCTGGAAGTGCTAAAGACACATCTCTGAACCTCGATCCACTTTGGCTCCGACTTGATGGTAAGTGGTGTAGAATCAGCGGCTCTGTACAGGTCCTTCATGTAGCCGTCTAACGTAGCCGTAAACTGGTGACAATTAGCCTCAATGGCAAGACGCGCAAACACTTGGATCACTTACTGAAACGACCGCGTTGTAGGCAAAGTCGAGACAAATGAGGAGGAGGATAGCAGCGGCCTTAGCTTGGTCCCTCTCATAGTCCAAGACCTGCTTCGCGACAAAGACTCCAAGTTCATGCATGGGATTGGTCTGCTTCTTGCCGAACAAGGCCCTCGTAATACCCCATTGGTTGGCCTCCCAGATGGTCCCGTTCTGGGTCAAGTCGATCAACTTTTTCATCGAAGTTTTGAAAGCCTGGCGACGCGGCATCCATTTTGTTTCGTCCACATTGTACGTCAGGAAAACCTGGCAGTTGGTGATGTGCTGATAGATCTCGTTCTCGCTGTACTTGTCCTTGGCATCGGTGGCGACTTTGCGCAGCTTGTCGCCGAAGCCAAGAAAGTCGGCGACATATCGCGTGACTATGGGAATGGCAAAACTGTCCAAAGGTCAGTCGGGCTCTCTCCGACCGCAGTCGAAGCAAGGGTTGCGAAACTTACTCTCGAGTGGCATCAATCTGGAATGTCGAATTTGTCATGGAGATTGACTCTCTCTTGACGATATACCTCATTAACTCGTCAAGATACTTCTTCAAACCCTCTTCTGCACCCTTGACGTAATCTTCAAGGATCTTGGGTGAGATTGTAGGCGGCTTCTGGTCTGGGCCCAAAACGGCTCTCACAATCTGGGGCAAGTTGGCCTCATAGTAATACGCAGGGTTCGTAAAGTTCTTGCTCTGTTCTCCCTGCAAGACAATGGAGATGTCGTTGAATTTGTCAAGATACCACGGCTTCTGGGGCTTCTGCACTGGGGCCACAACGATGTCGGGCTTTGGCTTTTTCTGCTTGCCTGCTTGCTGCGCTGCCGTCTCTCTGAACTGATCGCCGTAGCCTTGAGCCTCTGCGTAGATGGCGTTTTGCTTCGCAGTGTAAAACGGGTGGAAGAATCGGATGGTGTCGGATGGGAACCATCCCGGGAAAGCACGTTGGATCAAGCGGTGGAAGACTGAGCTCTTGCAAACCTCATTATTTGGTGTGACTTCCTTCATGCCCCACGAGGTCAGGGAATTGGTGTTCCAGTCAACCGTGTAGAAACGATCCGAGCGGACGAGGGTGATGGCATCCGAGAAGATGGCAGACCAAAGCGCAGAGCTTGCCTCGCTCGGCCCAGGGTCCAGTCCCATGTGTTCGTCTGATTCGCAGAAGATGCCTGGATACAGCTCAATCTTGTCGGGATGCTCATAGAGATCTCGGAGCGCGTTTTGGATCTCGACGTTCTTTGTCACGCTTTCAAACGTGGCATGTCTTGGCAAGCCGAAGAAGTCTCTGAAGTCGTTCAACGTACCGATTTCCCATTTACGCGCTTGAAGAATACCCATGATCTCAACTGCCTTGAGACACTGGGGGACATTGCGCGGGCCAAAATTGGAGATGGGATCGTCCATTGCGGAGGTGAGTTCATCCAGCATCTGGGCGTCGTCGAAAAGATTTGTGATGGAGTTTCGCGTGAAATACTTGGACCTCTTGGGCTTCTCTCGAGCACCACCAGTCTCGTCGGGCGCTTCCGTGCCAACAACACCATACATGGATATTCCGCTATCCGAACCGTTCTCGGATGCTGCGCTGCTATCTTCACCAGACGCAGGTGCTGGCGTAGGCGCATCGGGGATACCAAACGTTATTTCCCATGGCTCGGGATCCTTTTTACCGTTCTTCTTGTCTTCTGCGGACTTTTGTTTAATTGCCGCCATCGTCTGTAGGAAAACCGGCAGCGGAGTATTTTTTGGGTCCTTGAATCCCAACACTTTCTGCATGAATTCCTCGGTGTAAGCCTCGTCCTTGAGAGAGATGGCACAGTGGAAACGGTACAGCAGATTGAACTCGACAGTAACTTGATTTCCGATGCCGCGACTCGTCTTCTTTTGGTCAAAGTCGGCGCGAGGATCAAGAGTGAAGTTGGTGTTGAACTGGTGGAAGCCCATAAGTGCTCGCAAGTAGTCGTGCACGGAGATCTGGATGTACATGCCGCAAGTGATGAGACGCGCGGTGTTGAAGAGGTCATCATCTTGCTTGTTCCAAGCGGCCTCCCAGGCAGCCTCGAAATCCTGGCACTTGGCTTCGAAATCTTCAAGTTTCTGGGGAGATTCATCCTTGAGCTTCGACTTCTTTTCCTCGAGGAGAAGCTCGAGAGCCTCTGTCAACTCGATGAGCTTTTGGTTCAGCGCGGACGCCTCGAACTCAGCAATGGCATCAAGAGCCTTTTGCCTTTGTTTCTCTTCAGCCTCGCGCTCTGCCTTCTCTTCGGGGGTTTCCTGTGGCTGCTCTGGAGGGGCATCCGGTGCTTCTCGAGGTCTTGCTGCTTGAGCTTCTCTCCATACCTTCTCATACTCAGCGCACAGCTTGACGACATTGGCACCAAGGTCTTCCTTTTGCCCATATATGTTGCGATCAGGGAGATGCTCCTTGATCAAAGAGACCAGCTTGGTCTTTTCGTACATGACTGGGACTCTGAAACGGCCGTTCTCATTGATTCGAAGCAGCTGTCTTGCAGCGTAGTTGTGGTATCGGTTGTACATGACCAGCAGGATGCAGACGCCGGGTGGCTGCCTTAATAATCGGTCTTCCGCAAATGTGTCTGGCTTGAGAAGACCCAGCTTGTACTTGTCATCCCGAATCTTGCGCTGCATCTCTGTGGTGTAACCATAGAGAGGAGACAGGTCGAGGTAGGACGAGCTATCCGAGATGTTCTTGTCGTTGTCATTTGTTCTGAAAATATCGTGGATGATGATGGTAGCATGATAGATGAGCATGGCAGAAAGCCCCGACTGGCTCTGCCGGCCACCTTCCTCTCGTGCCATCAGCTTGTCAAAGAGGTCGGAAGGGTCAGGAAGAGCACCGAGCGGAGCTGTTCTTGACGGCACTGTTTTGGCGTATGGAGCACCTGCTTGACCAAGATGCGGATTGAGGGCACTGTTGAACTTGCCATCGGCAGTTCGGTACTGGAAGGCATCCCCGAGGTACGTCAATGGTGCTGATCAAAGTCAGATTAGCTCTCATGGCTGCTGATTCGGCGCGCAAACGTACGGTGCAACATCTTGTCATATTTGTTCTTGACTTGATCATCAATAAACTTTTGCCGTTGGACGCTGTAATCGGAAAGACTGCCGGCAATCGTGGCAGCACTTTGTCCCTACGCTCCATGTCAGCATGCAGTCTGTCGAGCACCATTCAGAGTTGACAGCCTACGTCAAGTCCAGTGCCTTTGATGAGTCCATCGGCGGTCCGCTTCAGTGCTGGCCAGTTGCTGGGCTGAAAGACAGTCTTGATATCCTCCCACAGGCCAACCTTGGGAACAATTGGATTCTGTGTGGACCGTTAGTAGCAAAACTCGGAAAACAACTGCCTCTCACTTACCCCGAGGAGGTTGTCTCCGTGGAACGTTGCATATTTCTCTTCTTCCTTCTTGTTTCTGAGCTGCAAGGTGAGTTGCATCAAATCCTCATCTTGTTTGCTCATAGGAGCCTCTGCTGCGTGGCCATTCATGACGGCAGGGTTTCGACTGGTTCCCAATGTTGATGAGGGATGGCGAGAGCAGTAGCAAAACAGAGACCAAGGCGGAGTGTAATAACTACTCAGTGTTGTTGCCTGATGAGTGCACTTGGAAAGAGAATGTGTGAGGCACCGTAAAGCGACAACTTGAGTTCACAGGTCTTGTATGAGATGGTGCCATGTGGCGCTCAAGTGCTTATTATTGCACCCCAACTCGCGGTACTTGGGTAAGGAGAGAAGAGACAGTCGTTAGGAACGATCCATGATAAAGCTGACCTGTGGCTCGCCTGCTCCGCCCTATCAGCTCCCATTCTCAGACGTCATGGTCGTTCCGCAAGGTCTGGAACGCCAACATGTATGTGTGTAGTACATTGTTGGCCCAATCCCCGTTGAAAGTGTAAGCCGATATTGCTTACATGCGGCGTGGCCGTCATCTTGTCTGGAATGCCGCCTTTCAGTTGGCAGAAAAGCGGAAATGCCCAGACCACGCCGGGGTAAAGTGTAGAGCTGAATATGCATGCCGCATGGGCAGAAGCCCGTCCCGGCTGTCAATGGCTCGGGTCTATCACATTTCATCTGTGTTGCATGAGTCGCGACATGTGCGCAGTAAGATGCTACTGCAACCTCGATTCGTCCAAATTGCTAAGCGTCATGTATCATGGAAGCATTTGTGCCTGTGAGATCAATGTGATTGGGCTCTTGGGGTCACGTCCACGAACAACAAGAGTTATACATTCTGGCGTGCCACCATCTGGCCGTTGTACAAGCTATCTCCATGATCGAATCAGCTCCTGCCGTCTGACAACATTCCTACACGTAACAACCGCGGGCGGATGAAGCATTGAAATTCAATGTCTTCAGCTTTGGGTGCCGCCTGAGAGTCGCATTGAAAGTGGAATACAGGCCAACATGTATCAATTTTGGGTGTTGGGCTGCCAAAAGACGGGTTGCTGGGCGGCAGTCCAGCCGCTCTCCGCGGAGTAGTAGGGAATCTACTCCGTAATAACTTGCGAATTTGTGGCTTGCTATTGCATGGACAGAGGGTAGGGGTTGCAGTTCGGGTTTGCCGCTTATCCACTCAGCTCATTAAACGAATCCGTATGTATATACATGTATGTACTCCGTACGGAGTACTCCGTGTTATTGGCAGATCCAGGGGTCATTGGAAATGCGCAGAGTTCAAGTGATCGCCACATCGCCGACCCTAGAACAGTGGCAGGGTCTCGGCCAGGTCGATACACAGGGTCTTGACTCTGACCGCAGTAGTCGGATGAAGGGGTCCAGGTCGTAAATTCTTCTTTATACCATGACACTTTTGATCATGACCGTCGTCGCCATTTCCATGTCAAACAACTACTTGTCCTTTAACCCTTGAGTGGTCAAGTCATTTCATACATTTTTCTTCTTCCAGCTTTGGGGTTTTCGTTTCTCACCTCACCTCGTCCTTTTTTTGCACGTTTGTCACAATGTCTCTGTCCCCGGCTGTGGGAGAATACGCAAAGGCGCCTGCAAACGCGAGCAGGAGTCCTTGCCCTGTCGTCAATGCTCTTGCCAACCATGGCTATATCGAACGGAGCGGACGCAAAATCTATGCGAAAGATCTCAATGCCTCCATGAGACATGTCGGCATGAGCCCACTCCTCGGCTCTGTCTTTGCTATACCAACCTATTTCGAGTATCACGACCCGGCCAAGGCATACATGAAGAAATCGGTCAGCACCTGGCAGAGAATCTGGTCTCTTATCAAGAACCCTTATTCCTATTTCGACTACTTTGGCTGCTGGAATGCCAGCCAGATGAGCGAGGGGAGGAAGTATCTCAATCTTGTGGACCTCGCTTCCCACGGCGCCATTGAGCACGACGTCTCTCTCTCGCGTCGGGACATTGGTCAAAAGGAGGGAAACAACGATGCCCAACAAGATTTGATTGAGGAAATGTTGGACTATTCATTTGACGGCGAGTCCCTCACCATCGACGATCTTGGCAGGTTCATCAAAGCCCGCATCCAGCGGCAACTTGTGGACAATCCAGACTTGGTCTATGGACCAGATGAGCATCAAGTGAATTGCGGCCAAATCGCATTGATGATGGGTTGTTTTGGGGATGGAAAGACGATTCCCGTCAGTTACGTCAAGGCCATCTTCGAGGATGAGAGACTACCCATCGAGGAAGGTTGGAAAAAGAGGTCCTGGTGGACCATGGGGCTTATCGAGTTCTTTGGTGCTGTTAAACATATGGTCGCAGCAGTGGGCGTGCAATTTTAAACCGCTATATTTTAATTTTTTTCATCACTCCTTTGTCCGTGGGAAGATATGATCAGTTTTGTTGGATTAGCTGGGAATGGCATTCGTTTCAAGGACATGCGGTGTTCTGCTCATGAATTCAATTTATACTATCTTGTCCAAGAACTCTAGGAAGAATTCTCATGACGCAGTGTTTCTGGCCATGCACCACATCACGATGAGTTAGGTGACAGGCCACACGAGTCGGTCTGGATCAAATCTCCCAGAAAAAGCAAGGCACATTCCGCATGTAAAACAGTGGCAGGAGAAGCAGTTGCTTTTTTCGTTCAGAAGAGGGCCGGGGGTTTTGCTAGACATTACATGCCCCGGTCGGGATCACCAAACTTCAGCTGTTGGGTGCAGCCAGCCACATGAAGTATACTCCGTACTCTCGAAATGCTCATTCAGCCAGCCACAAGCCGGTCTCGGTCTGGCTTGTGGGGTGGAGAGCTCAGTGTGTCAGCCAGAGATAAACTTTGAGATGCCGAGTGTCATACGTGACGTCAATAATATAAGGGAAACTTGCTTGAGGTCCATTGGGTGTAAGCAAAGCGATGAGCCGGGCGGGTCAAAATTAAAGGATAAATGAATTCAGCCTCGTTAAAGTTGCTACGTAGCATCATTTCCTAGAGCTTAATGGCAACGTTTTTCTTTTCTTTGCTTTTTCATTTCCCCCCCTGGGGGCCGCCTGCAGCGGGCAGGAAATTGATGAATGGAACACTCCATGTCCGTACATGTACTGAATTGAAACCAGCACGAGCTTGAGATTTCAATTGACCTATTGTAACGGGGCAGATGCCTCAACCATGCTCCACTTGTAGCACTCAAGCGACTGAGCCAGGAGAGGTAGAGCTCAGGTCCGATTATCGGCCGGCCGGTACGACGAATTGATGCATGTGTGTTTCGAATTCCTTTTCCACCGTCGCGACATTCAATCAACGCAGTGCTCATTGACATGACAACGTTAGCGACACCATCTTGATTCAGGACCAGAATCGCGCATCTTTGCTTCATTCCGTGTCCGACAGTTTTGATCAAGCCTGGCGGAGCCCTTCTCTCGAGGGCTGCCCTTCAACGCCCGTACTTTCTCATCTGGCTTTGCCGCGAACTTGTCTGGTACGTGTCTTGCCAATTTTCTTTCCGCCGTATGCTTTGTTTCTGGCTAACGAAGTCATTCAGAAATAGCCCTTTGCTGATCCTCCAGATCTGCACAACTCAAGACTCGGCAAAGGCGAACAACGAGTAAGCAGTCTACGACATCTTCGATCCATCGAGGCACAACATCCCGGCCGAGGAATGCTACGACTGGTCCAGTGGCTGGACCGCACAGGATGCATCAACTCTTGGTATTTGACCCTCTCGGTTGAGCAGTTACGCAGTTCCGAAACAAGTTCCCAAACAGAGCCTCGAATTAGAAATGACTACAGCAAACCTTGCAATTCATTCTCTTGGGCCTGGACTTTTCGCATCAAGCAAACGTGGTGCATACAGATTTGTCTTCCACTGGCTAACTCTCGAGAGCCGTGAGAATCGGCTACAAGGCAAAGACAAGGAACTGCTCCTCAGCCTTGTTCAAACAATCCTTCGCTGGCTTCTCGACAACAGACCATCAGCTCAAGACCTCTTCGAAAACGAGTTTGTAGTTCAGCACAGACTCACACTAGACCAGCGATATGAGGATCAATTGATGTCAGCATACGCCGCCAGCCTACATATGTAGACTTTAAATGCTTGAGCTTGGTTTAGTGTCAATTGTGGGGCCGACCACGTTAGTCATCTTCCACACCAGGTTTTGTGGCCGCTTGAACCAACCCAAAAAAACTCCCAAATTGTTCCCAGACTTGGATCCAGACGGGACGGGGTAATAATCCCAACACGCTGACTGCTTTGACTCGGGCAACTGCGACTCTAAGAGGTCTTCAGTATGCTCGATGATCAAGCAAGCACCAACTCGGTGATGGACAAGCAAAGCAGGTACAGCGAGCCGCCAATCCGTCCCCCAAAAATGGAACGACGCCAATCATGAGCTCCCGTAAGAATGATGCTAAAGATGATGACTGATTTGCTGTCCATAGACCTGATGAGAATGGCCAGAGTCTCCTTCAGGTGCCGATTCGACTGCCTGCGACATGCACAGCCCGCCAGATAGCATATGGCAAATTAAATCTTGACAAAAACGACGACACCCTGATATTTGCCCAACACGGCTGCCATGATGCCGCCGCGGGCATAGAATTCGCCCATGACGCCATCACAATCAGCGTCGCTGAACTTGATCGCATTAGCATCCCTAATCGTACAGTTGGACGCATCTTTGTTGACCGCTCAAAATTTGCTCTCACCATGGCTTTGCATGAGCCCCCAAGGTTCTATTCTCGGCATGATGTCGCGTGCAATTGGTACCGCCGGGCTGTCATGCGGAATTCACCTTACTACAGGACTTACAGCATACGATTTGAGGCAGACATGTTCGATCGAGCTGTCAACGCCCTTGAACCAAGGGGGAGCTTTCGCATGTTGCACCAACTACTACCTATACAGCACGAGCATTCCGGCAGCAATGATGCCTCCAGTTTAGTAGAGGATCTCGAATTACGTCTGCACAACCTCCACTGCCAGGAGAGTATGATACCATTTACTTTGCTATTCCAGGCTGTTGCGCTGGCACGAAGCGGCCATTTGGATCCGGCGACTGGCTGTGATATAATCGACGAAGCACGACATCTTCTGCACCATGCGGAACCCAATGTCCCGGCAGTCACTCAACTCTTTCGGAGGCGGTTATTTCAAGCTGCATCGGAATCTGCCCTGGACGCCAGCCGTCGTGGACACAATGTCTCAAGGCGTCCCGAAAACTCGGCAAGTTCACGCGTAACCGAAAGACACTTGCTCGAGCAACAAGCGCATGACAGTAGGACTCCTGCTAGCGGGCGGGCTCTGGTGCTCAAGGCCTTGGTCACTCCCACTCGGATCGTACTACGAGGCCCAGACCTGGAAACCAAAAACAGAGTTCTACGCATGTTTCCTGGGAAATCAGACCACTTCCTACGCGTGACATTTGGTGATGAGGACGGCGAGGACCTGTCATATGGTGATAGAACTTGCAACGACGATATTTTCGAGCACTACCGCCGTATTCTTCTGCGAGGCCTGACGGTGGCTGGACGAAGATTCGAATTTCTAGCCTTTTCGCACTCATCTTTACGATCCCACTCCGCTTGGTTTTGCTCCCCTTTCGTCGGCCAGTCTCTAACCGTGCAGGACTGTCGATCCATTGTCAAATCGCTCGGCGTGTTCCAAAACATTCGCATACCGGCAAAATGCGCCGCGAGGATCGGACAAGCATTCTCCGAAACACCGATTGCTCTATCGCTGTCCCAGAGAGGTATTCGGCTGCAATATATCGACGATGTCAAAAATTCGGCGGGGACTCGCGTCTTCAGTGACGGTGTAGGTACCATTTCTATTGATGCCCTGCAGGAAGTATGGGATTGTCTTCCCGAACGGTTAGGACGGCCAACTTGTATCCAGATCCGGATTGCTGGCGTGAAGGGCATGCTGTCCCTGGATTCTCAGCTGCGCGGCAAATATATATGTATTCGGAGCGAATCCATGATGAAGTTCAAGAGCCAAGACCTTGACGTCCTTGGGATCTGCGATGTTGGATCCAGGCCACTGAGATTCACACTCAACCGGCAGATCGTCAAGATTCTCGAAGATATGGGTATCCACCACAACTGGTTTCTGGCATGGCAAGACAAGGCAATCAGGAACTTTCTGAGCGTGGCCTCCAGTACTCGCCACACCAGGGCCTTCCTCAGGCAGTATGAAGTCGGGACAAGTCTGCGACTGCCCGAGTTGATTGAGAAATTGGAAGAAAATGGCATCGACTATCGAGAAGACGACTTCCTCAGATCAGTGGTTGGTCAAGCGGTCCTTGCTGAGCTGAGATTCCTCAAGTACAAAGCCCGGATTCCGGTCAGTAAAGCCGTCACCTTGTTTGGAGTCATGGATGAGACAGGCTTCTTGCAGGAAGGCCAGATATATGTAACCTATGATGTTGCGGACCACCTGGGAGCCACCGGCATCGAAGCTGCTCCAGCAAAGGGTCGGGCTCTAGTGACCAGATCGCCAGCGCTTCATCCCGGGGATATTCAGTACGTGGAGATGGTCACACCTCCCTTTGGGCATGCGCTCCTTGAATTGAGGAACTGCATCGTCTTTAGCAGCCAAGGATCGCGTGACCTCCCGAGCATGCTGAGCGGTGGTGACCTGGATGGAGACCTGTACAGCGTAATCTGGGACCCGGATGCTATTCCCACAAGGAACTTGAAGCCCGCAGAGTATCCTCGCATAAGCCCTAAACCCAACAAGCGTCAGGTTCGTCAGGAAGACATGGCCAACTTCTTCATCGACTTTATGAAAAACGATGTCTTGGGAATTATAGCCACCAGACACCAAATGTATGCCGATCTAAAACCTGCCGGCACGCTAGATCCAGAATGCATCCGGCTGGCCGAGATGCATTCAGCAGCAGTCGATTACTCAAAATCAGGCGTACCGGTTGAGGCACATTGCATTCCAAAAGTGCCGCAAGCGCGAGCCGACTTGTAAGTAGCACCAAGATGAAGGAGGTTCTTATCCATCGAATGTACTGAGGCTGACATAAGACTGGATAGCTTGGTTCCGGCCCCAACTCTGGCTCTGCATCTATCCAACGATGCGAGTTACTTTGAAAGACTGACAGCTTGTATCTCTGAGTCCGAAACAAGTCCAGCACAGCCAGGCTTTGCGACTTATCAGTCAAACAAAATACTCGGAAGATTATTCCGTGAAATCGACGAACATAGGATATGGAAGGAAAGTACGCAGGCAGAAGTAACTACTCGTACTTCTGGTGGCATATGGGATGGGTTGCTCAAACACGTCGAGTCAGATTTATCTGCAGTCAACATTATCCTGGATTGGGAGACGAAATTGGCAACGGCGAAAAACCTGCGCACCGAGTATGTGAGCCTCGGCCCCTCCATATGGCCGTTTGCTAACGTCATGTTTTAGGTACGACATGGCTCTGGCTGAAACTTTGCGCCAGTTTTCAGTCAACCCAAGAGGGCAAGTATCTGAAGTTGAAGCCTTCTCCGGCCGCAGCTTGAACTCGGCTGGGAGACAGTCGCGACGACACCGGGTTTATTCCGCAAAACTCGCAGACAGGATGGAAGAGTTGACGGCATGGATGTCGGGGCGGATTCGTGAATGCAGTGCGCTAGAGCTCGCCGAGCCAAGCATTTTCGTGAACGAGCAGGGCGATGAGCTGAGACAACAACAACAGCAGCAGCGTCTGGTCGAGCTATGCAGAGCGTGTGTCGCTGTTGGGGGTACAGGTAGCATGTATGGCCCAGCAGAGGATGTCGGGCAGCCTGTTGGGCTGGAAAGCTTTCGCGTCCTGGCAGCGGGCATTTTGCTCAGCGAAGTGCAGAAACTCTTGTGGTAGGCGAACCCACCACTTGCTCCAATGAGTGGATCAAGTTAAATTACATGTGCACCGTAAATGGGGCCAATTGCACCGGACGTAGCACCAAACACTTTGGACGGAAACAAGCATCAACGCTAACCTATTAATTAAGTCGATAAAAAAAATGTAAAAGGGAAGACGAGTTGATAAATAGTAGTATTGATGCTTGCTTCCAAGTTCTCCAATTACTAGACTCATCATTGGTTGCAAGTATGCCTGCCTGATGCCCCACCCCTAAGGGTCGGTCACACGTGCAGGGTCGAGATGAAAAATGAAAATCGGCCAAGAAAAAGCAATTGAACCAAAACAAAAGCATATTGCATCTGTGTGACAACTGACTTGTAGCCATCCACGATATCTGAAATAATTCCACTCATCCTGTCCATTTTACTCTTTGACTTTCTACTAGCTTATTTCTGTGTTAAATCAGTCGCTGCGACACGTCGATGCGCATCTGCAGGCCAGTCTGGTGGGACAGTGTCTGCAGGCGCAGCCGTCACGTCTCTCTGCGCAAGTCGTAGGGGGATCAACCGCGAATCTTGTGAGCATGTCCATTCTTCCCACTGTGCAGGGCCTTCTGTCCGAAGTTTCACCATCCAAGGTGACCTATGCACGAGCCCAGCGGATGCGCGATTCCAGATCGTACCTGGAGGATCAATTTTGGCTGCTTCATCAAGACCTGGCGCTGTGGACTCATGACGAGATCAAAAGCTTCACAAACGACGACCCATCTGCCCGGCGCGGAACCTGCCTCGACAATCTGACCGTCGAGGGACCCTACAGCAGTGGCCGGCATCCTTGGTCTATTCAGTTCCGGTGTCTCCAAGATTTTCCTGCGCTACAAGACAAAAATGAAGCCGAGAGGAGAAGCCTCCTGCAGGAACACAAAACTTTCCTCCGAAATGAGAGCTCGATATGCCTCCTTGTCGATGGCACACCGAGGTGGTTTGGTTTCCTGACAGGAGAAGAGGACTACCTATGTCTCAGTCCTCCTGTCATAAATATCCGACTTTTGGAGACGGAACTAGACAAGGCCTCGTTGATCTTGACAGGGGCAAAGCAAATTTCATGCCTGCTGCTGCACACACCACTGTTTGCCTATGAGCCCGTCCTGAACGGGCTGTCGAGAATGTCCAATATTCCGCTGGAAGAGAGCTTGTTGTATTGGACGCCGGGGAAACCCGCCCCTCGTATCGATTATACGCTGACGGCAGAGATGTCTGGTTTTCTGGCACGCCTGGAAGAGGATTCGTCACTAGACTTGAGGGAAACCCTGAGGCTCTCCTCGGAAGTCAGATTGGACCCTTCGCAGGCCGCATGCTTCAAGGCTGGCCTCAGTCAAAGTGTAGCCTTGATTCAAGGTCCACCAGGTAACGTCCACAGCCATCAATTGATACCTTTACAACTTGACTTGCTTACGGGGGCGTAGGGACCGGGAAATCATTCATCGGCTCGCTCATAGCCAAAGCAATCCTTGAGCATTCCGCAGAAAGGATCCTGCTTGTGTGCCAAACGCATCATGCTCTGGATCAGTTACTGACAGATTGTCTGCGCTTGGGCCTGGCACCGTCCAAGATTGTTCGCATGGGCTCTACGAAGAAAGCAACCCAAACCACCCAGTCGTTATCCCTGCATCTGGCGCGAAGCAGGCAATGGTTCACTCCATCCCAAAAAAAAGAAATAGCCAGACACAGGGATGCTATTGATTCAACCACCAGCAAGTTGCGTGACGCTTTTAACAATATTACGGGCCAAAAATTCTCCAAGGTTGACCTCATGAAGCACATCAAGACGTTGAAAGATGGTGAGCTGCCATTTTATGACGCACTCCATCCTTCACCTCGGACGAGTAAGCCAGAGCACGAATTCTACTTGCTGGATCGATGGTTAGCAGGCAAAGACTGCGGAGTACTCAAAGCCCATGGATCCCGTTTCCCCTCGGTTTGGCGACTAAATGCGGGAGAGCGAAAAGAGGTCCTGTCGAAATGGGAGCGTGAGATGATGACGAAACGCCTCGTGATGCTTCGAATGGCTGGCAACGAGCACGATGACCATGTTGAAAGGTTAAACGCAATACACAGAGACAGAGATGTCAACATCATCCGGCGAAAACGAATCATTGCATGCACAACCACGGCAGCTGCCAAATACATGCTGACCATCCAGTCGGCCGCGCCGACGGTAGTTTTTGTCGAGGAAGCCGGGCAAATCTTGGAAAGCCACATCTTGACGGCGCTTGGCCCGGGGACGAAGCAGCTCGTCATGATTGGAGACCATAAACAACTTCGGCCAAGAGCTCATCATAATCTTTGTGTCGAGAAGGGCAACGGCTTCGACCTCAATCGATCACTTTTTGAGAGACTTATACTGGCCGGATACCCTCATCAGGTCCTGTCACAGCAACATCGCATGCGACCAGAGATTGCTGCGCTGGTTCGTGAACTATCATACCCGAGCCTGACAGACGCTCCTCGAACACTCGACCGGGAGCACCTTCGGGGACTTCAGAACAATGTCATCTTTGTATCCCACTCAGAACAAGAGTTCGAGTTGGGCCATGTGCTTGAATGGCGTGACTTTGAGTCGACAAAGTCCAAGAGGAATCTGTTCGAGGCTCAAATGGTGGTCAAGTGCGTACAGCACCTCACCCAGCAGGGTTACTCAACAGAGAGAATCGCCGTGCTAACGCCGTACCTGGGCCAGCTGCGGCTCCTGATTCAAGAGATGCTGTTGCACAGCGATCCACAGCTGAGTGAACTGGACTCACAAGATTTAGTCAGAGCAGGGCTAACACCGCCGACCTTGGTGCCCACAGGGCGGCCACATATCCGAGTGTCGACTATAGGTGAATAACGCACAATGAATCCCATCGCTTACCGAGTGTGCGCTGACTGCTGTCCTAGACAATTTCCAGGGGGACGAAAGTGACATAGTAATCTCTTCGCTGACGCGAAGCAACTCGCGACGAGACATTGGGTTCATGGCATCCAGAGAGCGGCTTAATGTTCTGCTCTCTCGGGCTCGAGATGGACTCATTCTGGTGGGTGATGCAGAAACGTTTAGGGAGTCCCCTGCAAAAGACTCTCCTTGGAACCAGTTTATCGATTCCTTGGTTGCCCGAGGACACATGTACGATGGTTTACCAACACGGTGCGAGCGACACAAGATCAACGGGGCTGTCCCTCGCAGCCCGGAGGAATTTGAGAAGAAATGCCCGGGTGGAGGTTGCAGGAGACCCTGGTGAGAAACAACCGCAAGCTCCTCCTGCCGATCTACCCAGGAACTAAAGTCTAGATGCGACTTTATTCTCTACCAGTCTATGTCGTGTATTCTTATACTAACATGGATTTAGCCAAATTCTAGTCAGCTGCGGAATACACCTCTGCCGTCGCACTTGTCACGAGCCATGCGATCATACGAAAATCCCCTGTCAAGTAAACATTGATTGGGTCTGTGAAGAGGGTCACAGTGAGACCCGAAAATGTCACAGTCGACACCAGCCTTGCGTGAAGTGTTGTTCAAAGCGTTTTCAACGCCAGGCTTTTGCAGAGAAAGGCGTTTCCTCATCCGATGTGCACCTAAAAGGCGCTCTCAGCGAGTTTTCAGTCCTGTTCAACGAGAGGTATAGAGGTGGCGCAAGAATCGAGGGCGGAATGGAGGGAGTGCCTGCTCGAGTGTTTTGTCGGCGGGTAGCAAAGGCTTTCGCAGGCCTAGACGGCGTGGAGATGCGCGTAACGTTGGAGAAAGCTTGGGAAGGCGTGATCAGGAGGAAGAAGGCCCGTTCCTCAGTCGATACTAACACGACCTCATCAACACAAGAAGAGTACTTTAGTACAGAAGACCTCCTGGGGCCAGAGCCGCGGGAATATTTGAAGACGAGTAGCGCGTGGAAAAGATTGCAGAACCTCATTGGCGTCCAAAGGATGAAAGATTCCATGGCGGAGTTGGTCGACGTCTTGCAACTCGGATACGAGCTCGAACTGAAGGAAGAGCCTCCTGTTCCCATCACCCTGAGTCGTCTCTTCCTAGGGCAGCATGGTACAGGCAAAACGACAGTGTGTTGGCTCTACGCGTCCATCCTTTCAGATTTGGGCGTTCTTCAGAGCAGTGACGGTACGTGAAGCATTCTCAGTTGAATCAAAAAATTGCCGTGCCGAGCGACTTTTGACTGCCGATGGCTAATACTGGTTGACAGTTGTATTCAAGCATCCGGACGATCTCATTGGGGACAGCGTCGAAGCATCGGAACTGCGCACGGAAGTGGTGCTGCAAGACGCCAGGGGGAAGGTGCTCGCTATTCGAGACGCCCCCGTGCTGAGAGACCATCGCGACGATGCAGAAAAGGCCTGCAGAATCGCTGTCATTCGAAAACTCCTGGCAGCTGCGGGAGATGAACAGGAGAACCCCCAGTGTCTGATCCTGATGTTCATCTCAGGCGATAGGGCGCTGAACACATTTAATGGGTTAGGGCGGACGGATATCGCCCGCTATTTCCCGATCGACGCGGCATTCTCCTTTGACCGCCCCGGAGACGAGGACTTGAGTTTGCTTTTGGATTTGACGCTCCGCAAACGGCGTTTGTCAGCAACGGCTGTTGCCAAGGAGGCTGCTCTGCACCGGCTCCAAGGGGCTAGAGGGCCCAGGTTTGGGAATGCGAGAGCTGTTGAGACTCTTGTTGATATGGCCAGCGATCGTGCCAGGCTCCGTCAACGGTCTGTCTCGCGAGATGAACGGCTGGGGGACAATGTGATGCTAGAAGAAGGAGATTTCAGTGCCCATGAATTGAATTAAATAGGTGGCGGGCCTGATTTCCGCATCTCCTTCATCTCTTTGGTTTTTGGCCTACTATGTCGTCGTACCCTAGAGTGTCTGATGAAGACGTCACAAGTAGATAAATGACCAGGGGTCGAGGGAACGTTGGGACCAATTTAAGCTCGACGTAGGTCCGGCGTTGATTGTGGTCAAAGGCCACTTGTACGCGGCCACCCGCTGTGTCACACGGTCAAGACCGGACAAAGGCATCAGCCAACAAAGGAGGGTATCACGAGAAGCCGGAATCGGACCTTGGAGAATCTAATCCAGGGGCCCGACCCAAGGCCTGTATATATACATGATAATCCAGGCGTGTGTAATCTGACCTAGTAGCTGCCTTGGGCCTTTATCCTTGACCCCTGACCTAGCTTTGTGACCCCTTTGTGGGCGGCCACGATGCATCCTTTGTGCTGATGCAGCCGGTATGCTCCTTGGACCTAATTCGGGCTTTGTGTTGCCTCTCCGTATGACACCCAATATGCTGAGTACCTGCACTTGTCACACACTCGGCGCAATGTCTTGTGTCACTGCGACTCAAGAATAATCGCTGAGCGATTCGTTGTGTCGTCAATCTTCAAAGTTCAGCAGACCATGCACCCAGTACTTTGAATACCGATTGTATTGAAGAAGAGCGGCTTCGTCTCATCCGGTGGTGCTATCGCACATGCGATGTCTTGCCAAGAAGTCTGGTCGGAACCGTTCGCTGGGATGGGAACAACAACCCAGCGCAAAGTGTAGTCTACGAGCCGTTTCATGTGATACTGTTCACCATCTGAACCTGGAAGAATGCTACACGAAAGTCACGTTGCCATGAAGGCACGGCTCGAGCCTTGAACACGACGATGGTTGCACAACATGGAAGGGCTGGAGACGTAGTTGAGGCGTTGGGTTTCTGGGTCCGCTTGCTCACCGATATTTAAATTAGATTACATGCAACCTTTGAAACTATGCGCCAGAAAAGTCAAATTGCGGCCAAATCAAAGACGACGTATATAGACTTGGCCTCATTTACGCTTCTTTGTGGTATGTCGTGGATGGTAGCTTTGGTGGGCCAACTTACTCTGCACTGTGTGATACGCGTAAAACCGTGAACCGGCACACGAGCAGTTTGGGCTTCATGTCAATACATGTAACTTTTTAATTCATTCGTTAGCGTGGTGTCATTTATTTAATCGCTTGAAGACGAATACTGCAACATTGTGACATGACAGGACAGTGCCGGCCAGGCCGATGCTAGACTGTCTGGCCGGGTCAGGATGTCAATGTTGATGTCAATGCTTATCCCCTCGCTGAAGGGTATTGACCTACCGTTGACCTGTCAGCGTCGACCTACATCCGCCTGTCAGACAGGGACATGGACCAGCCATCAATTTGATCCTTCTAGTGTCTCGAATCTCACTAATGCTGCCAACACTATCGTCACCGCTGCTCTGCAGCCACTTCCTTGGTCTTACTGCGTCGGACATGGCCTAGTGGTAAGTGCTTAGCCACTCCCACGACACTTTGGAGAATAAAATGCAATACCACCCATGCACACGTGTCTCAACGCCTTCGCTTTGGGACCTTGTGGAGTATTGCGTTTCCCTCTTTATCCCAGGGCCTCGACTTATACATCTAGCCTGCCGAGAAGCTACATTGGCACAATGTTCACCAGCGACTCTCAACAACCCGACTCGCCGGCTCTGGACGGCAGGTTGAAGAAGCTCCGTTCGGCGTGCGATGCGTGTCATGCCGCCAAGGTCCGCTGTTCCGGAGAAGCAACGTGCTCAAGATGTCTCAGAGAGTAGGTTGCATTTTCCCGTCCTCTACTATTCTACGACGCGGCCTGCAGCTAACCAAGACACGTTGTAGCAACGTGCCGTGCCATTACAGCTACCGAGCCCACCAAGGCAAGCCCAAGGGAAGTCTGAATAAAAAGACAATTGAGCGGATCAAGGCAGCAAGGGCTGCCGCCGAGAGCGAAGCACAGCCGGACCACATCACGAGCCAGGGAAGCTCCGTCTGTCCTCGGCCAGCCGACGACGTCCTCGACTTTATCGACATGCCCCCTTCCACATGCAACAACTCTCCCGACCCAGTCACAGCTACGCCAAGCTCCCATTTCCCCCTGATGGGAGAGACGTTTCCAACATTTGGAGCCGATGATCTTGATTCCTTCCTGGTGAGTGGGCTCCGTGTTGGCAATGACGGCGATGCAGAAGGCTAACTCGGACAGAATGCGTATCAGACGCCTCCGCAAAGCTGTAGTTCAAAACCCGTTGGGGATATCCCTGTAGCGAGTGAAATGGACCCGGGCTGCATCTTTGTTGGCACTCCGTCCTCCTCCTCAAGGGAGTACACGGATGCCGCAGCAAGCTGTTGCTGCGTGAGGACCATGACGCGGCAAATCAACCACGTCCACGCGGCGGCCACGGACCGGTCTGCGGCAGCCCTGGACCATGTGCTGCACCACACCCGCGAGACGGCATCCTGCGTCTCGCGGTTTCTGCAGTGCCACACGTGCGGTGTCGAGGTCCAGGTCTATGTGCTCGCCGCCGTCGTGCTGTCTCTCCTCTTGGAAATCATGCACCCCCTTACCGACTCGTCGCTCGAGACGTGCCGGCCCCGCGCGCAGATCAGAGTGGGCAACTATGACATGTCGGGCCAGCTGGGCGATGTGCTGGAGAAGGTGATTGTGCGCTCCATGATCACCAAGCTCCGCCAGGTTGTGGACAAGTTTGAAATGAGGGTCGAGTTCCTGCGCAGTGAAACCGCCCAGGTGGACTTTCTCAAGTCGGAAGCACGGAGGCTGAAGAGAGGGTTTGAGAGGATTGGGGAAGAGACGGCCACGGTGCTATAGCAGGAAATTGCATCTCCATTGTGTGAAATGAATCGCGACGTAGAGGCAATTTATTCAGAGTCATCAACTGTGCTTCTGCCGGATGCAACATGCGTCGAAATGGCGCAATTGGCTCTTGGAATGGCGAGACTGGCAGCGGCGTGTGTGTGCGTGACATCCAAGCACCAGACATGTTTGGCGTGGATACATGTAGCAACATACAGACGAATTGGCCTGAATGGCCGCATGTTTCCGTGTGCCCGTGGCAATGAGGGTGCCGTTCCGCGTACACAAACGTGCCAGGCACGCATCTAATGCCTCCACTCTCGGCGTTTAATTGACCGGGCCGCAAACCTCCATCGGACGTGGGGAGCTTGCTAGAGCGTGTGCCGATGAGTGAGCAGCACGAGTATTTGAAGTAGATGGGCGTATACTGCAGTCAGAATGGGAGTGGACCAGTCTCATTAGTGAACCCGCTCTTTACATTTGCAGCATTGAAAGCAGCATTGATCAGACGGCAGGAACCAAAAAGTGCGTAACCCTAACCCTCCGTGTTTTGCACAACAGGCTCCATACAGCACGAGGTAGATTCTATCCTTGGCCCGTCATGGAATCCGTGGTAAGTGGACGCTCGCGACACCCAAGCGAAAACGAGCGCCTCAATGTGCAACACGCACTCGTCAAGTCCATCATGGGAGGCAAGCTCCTCGTGGCGCCGGCCAACCTGGACCTGCCCAACTTGCGAATTCTAGATTCAGGGACTGCGCAAGCAAACTGGCTGCTCGACCTGGCAGCCGTCGTGCCCGACACGGCGCGGCTGGTCGGGACAGACATTGCAACGGGACAATTCCCCCCGGAAGCACAGCGGCCGAGCAACATGACACTGCAGACGCAGTCTATTTTCGAGCCATGGGACAAGTCCATGGTGGGCAGCTTCGACATTGTCCACCAGCGCTTTGTGCTCGCAGCATGCCGCAGCGACGAGCAGGCACAGCGGGCCGTCGCCAGTCTCGTGACGCTCGCCAAGCCGGGCGGCTGGATCGAGCTCCACGAGGGAAACATGCTCAGCATCCAGGAGGGCGAGGCGCACAAGGCCATGATGCGCTTTCGGGACATCGCCGTGGCCGCGTGGGCCAGCATCGGCCAGCTGCCCGATCCCGGCGTCCGACTCGCCGGCTGGCTGCGGGGCGCGGGGGCCACGCAGGTGCACGCGCTAGTCCAGACGGTGTCCCTCGGGGCGGCGGCCAGCAATACGCACGAGGCAGAGTGGTCCACCGAGCTGTGCCTCAACATGCTTCGCACCATGAAGCGCATGACGGCAGGTAAGCTGACCTTTTTACAGGACGCCCGAGGCGCAGGGGCGTCTGGGCCGCGTCGGGCAGCTGAGGCCACGCTTTGCTGACCACCAGTCCGTCGCACAGGAAAAGCCGACTTTCCGGACGAGCACGAGTTTGACAGGCTGGAGGAGGAGCTGCGTGACGAGCTGCAGCGGGTGGGGAACCAGTGGTACTACTACTTGGCGTACGGGAGGAGGGCCGGAGCCGAAATGGGGGCGGGGGAGGAGGAAATTTAAAGTCGATTTTGCCACCTACTGTTGACACTATAAAAAGTGGGCATTGCGCCTAGTGGTGTCGACACTACATGCATGGTGGGAGGGCCACACTCACGCAAGTATGTACCCAGGTACTTGGCTGTCAACGGTATCATCACGGGGAGAAGCATGGGGGTCTGGTAGTGTCTGGTACATGGTACATGTACTACTGTCTGGTGTCATATACATACGTCTGCCATTTAAAACAACAGATTGGCTCGGAAATTAAACAAGCATTCTGAGTCGCCGAATGTACTACCCGTGCAGCAAATCATGCCGATGGCCCACGCCCGCTGCCAAGCGCACTAAATACATATGTAGTTAAGGGTCCAATGGTTTCTGCAAGTTGCAACTAAACTCGCCAGCGTCCTTCGTGCGCGTCGTTTGGGATAGACGAGATTAAATACCGTAAGCGGCAGCTTGAAACCGCCCGAGGCCCAGCGCCAAAAGCGTCATCATCATGGACAAGATGGGTTCGACGGAGCATTCCAGTCTCGAGCAGGCTCTGGAGTTGATGTCCAGGGTACCTCTGATAGGTATCCACCCCTTGTTGCCTGCCGATGTTCCGAAACGTCGACTATTTTCCGCATTGCTGACCTCCCAGCAGACGGACACAATGACTGGATGCACATGATTCGAGCCTATTACGACTTCCAAGTCGATGAGCGTTTCGAGTCCCAGCGGGATCTCGCAGGCCATGTCGACTTGAAAAGACTGGTCGAGGGCCGAGCCGGCGCTGTATTCTGGAGCGTCTACGTTGAATGGTGCAGTTGTTGTTTTCAAGCGTCTGACCTGGTAAAACGACCATGTTTCTGACAACGGCTTCAGCCCAAAGGAGGAAGATGACTTCTCAGATGCCCTTCACCTCTACAGCCTGCGGGACACGGTGCAGCAGATTGACTTGTTGTACCGCATAGTCGACTTGTACCCTGACAAGCTCGAGATTGTCCACAAATCACAAGACATTATGCGCATCTTCAAGAGCGGCAAATGCGCCAGTCTCATGGGCGCAGAGGGCTTGCACCAGATTGGGAATAGCAGCAGCGCCCTGCGCATCTTCCACAGACTCGGCGTCCGCTACGTGACCCTGGCGCACGGGAAGAATAATCTCTACGTGGACAGCGCCGTGAGTGGCCCCCCTTTCTGGCGCTCAAGGTCTGCAGAGTACTTACGCCAACAGACGTCCAAGGCTCCCGCTCACCATGGACTTTCTTCTCACGGAAGGGACATGGTGCGTGAGATGAACCGCATAGGAATGTAAGAAGCGGAATTCGCATGGCGTCCATTTTCGGACTAGGTTGACGTGCTATATCAGGATCGTGGATTTATCCCATGTCAGCGAAGCAGCCATGGTTGATGCGTTGAATGTGTCGCGGGCACCAGTTATATTTTCACACTCATCTGCGTGCGTACAGAAAGCCACAAGCACAATGGCATGCCATTCTCGCTAACTCACGTTTCTTTCCCTGCATCAAGCTATGCTCTAGTCCCTCATGCCCGAAATGTGCCGGACCATGTTCTGGATCTGCTCAAAGAAAATGGGGGCATCATCATGATTAGCTTCATTCCATGGCTGACAAACAAAGAGCCCGAAAAGTCTACAGTAGACGACGTCGTGGACCACATTGTGTACGTCGGAGACAGGATAGGCTATCATCACTTGGGTTTGGGCTCGGATTTCGACGGCATGCCCACTCACGTTCAGGGTCTGGAAGACGTCTCCAAATACCCCAATGTCGTGGCGAGGATGCTGGAGAGGGGCATCTCTCCTGAAGATGTGGAAAAAGTCATTGGCCTCAACCTGATAAGGGTGTTGAGGGACGTGGAGGAATTTGCTGCCTCGCACCGTCGGTCGATTTCTGTTTTGGAGGATAAAGTGCCTCAGTTGTGGGATGATGGGATTCGTACCCATGTGAAAAGACTGTATCCTAATGCCGAGCATGACAAGCCACATGGGAACATAGGGTAGTATGCAGCAGGAACAATTTTCTTTTCTTTTCTTTTTTTAAAAAAAAAGCCCCTTCAACACCATTTGCTCGATTCCCATCTACCGCCCGTCCCCGCGGCCAAAAATTGGGCCATGAAAGTAATCATGCTGTGCCCACATTAGGCGCAGTAAGCAATCGAAAATAAACAAAAACCAGGCCGGGACGTGGCCATCAGAACCCTGGTACTTATAGACCAATCTTTCCGTAATGACTCCCGCTCGCGTCCATGGCCACAGGAATAGCGTCACGCCCAGCTGGAACCACCAGCCACTCTTGGGCTGGTACGTTGGCTGCTTGGCCAGTTTCTGCTGGTACCATTGCGGTAAATTCTGCTCATGCGCGCCTCGGGTCAAAACGCCCTGTTGGAGAATCGAGAAACGAATACCCGCTCCATTAGTTGGACAAGTTCAAACGATGTCCCGAAAGCACGGAGAGAGGATGGGGCAGGGAGAGTGCTTACAATGTACCGCGTCGACGGAAGTCGCTCGCTCTGAGCAGCGACATTATGTCTGCCCATCAGGGTATTCACCTGGATAGTCGACCCGTCCTGCAGTAGCTTCGCATTTAGCTTGACCACGTTGTATGCGATTCCTCCGCTGTGAGCCGCATCTGGTTAGCCAAGCTGATGCTGCTTCATTCTATGTACATGTAGCCACATTGAAGGGTCCGAGGCGCAACCACCGGCACGGGCTTGGAACGCACCCTTCGCTCAATACCACTTTTTTGAGATCCTCCGGGGTAAGGAGGTAAGCAACTCCATGCACGCAAGCCGTTGGGTCGGTGGTTTCCGGACAAAGGGGCCGTATTCCGCCGTTGCCAGGGTCGACGTAAGGTATGCCGAGTACATTGAAGCACAGTGCGTGAGACGGGATGTAAGCCACTTCAGTGCGCAGCGGTCGGATTTTGCGCCTCTCGATGAAGACTGACGCAGCCATGTTGGCTCCATACCCAAAGTACCATGCCGGCCCGTCGGGGCCCGTCGTCGTGTCCATGGTCATCAATATGGTCCAGAAACGTCTGGTGACAGTGGTGTCGTGTGGGAAGCAGCGCGGGCGATAATCACCAAAGGCCAGGCTGTTTTCATTCCATGGCCCTTTGTCAGGCTCGAGTGGCATTTATGGTGGCCGTAGCTCCTTTATTCTATCCAACTCGGTGTGTCGGCAAAGACGCGTGCAACCATCGCTGCATGGCAGAGCCTCGTGCTGTCTCGTCCGTGTCACTTAGTCTCCGACAAGTTTCCGACAAAGTTTCCGGGCACGCCTGAAAGAGCTTCCTGCTCGTCTCCTGTGCTTCATTTTGTTGGTGTTTTTTTTTTTTTTTTTTGCATCTACCTTGGAGCTTGATTCTCGTCTTTGCATTTTCCCTTACGGTCTGCGCAAGTGTACAAGGTGATGCGCCTCGGATAACATGTCGGGCAGCGAAGCTGAGAAACACGGCCAGACGACGCCGGAAGCCAGCACGGCCGAGCGGGACATCAACGTCGATGGAGCGGAGCGGAGGAAGGAATATGCCTCTGGCTTCAAACTCGTCATCATTGTTGCGTCGCTCTGCTTGTCGCTATTTCTCTGTGGGCTGGTAAGCCGCCGCAGACGCCACTTGTTGCCCGGGACAGGATAACTGAGCCAGTTTGCAGGACCAAACCGTCATCACCACCGCAGTGCCCATCATCACAAATGAGTTCAAAGCAATCGAGGATGTGGGCTGGTACACCACCGCCTATCTCCTCACCACGTCTTCCTTCCAAATCGCCTATGGCAAGCTCTACACGACCCTGTCTGTCAAGATTGTCCTCCTCATCGCCCTCGCAATTTTCGAGCTGGGCTCTGTCATATGCGCTGCCGCCCCGAACTCGACGGCCCTCATCGTGGGCCGAGCCATCGCGGGCCTCGGTGCCGCAGGCATATTCCCAGGAAGCACACTTGTTCTGGTTCATGCGGCGCCCATGGAGCGGCGCCCGGCTCTGCTTGGTATAACCACGGGCATGTTTGGCATTGCCAGCTTGTGCGGTCCATTTATCGGTGGTGCATTTGCCGACGGCGCAACCTGGAGGTGGTGCTTCATCATCAACGTCCCTCTTGGTGTCATCACCGCCGTCATTCTCACATTCTTCGTTACCACGCCCATCGACGCCCAATACGCCAATTGGACCTTCAAGGACAAACTTGCCTACGCCAAGATTCCCGAAATCCTCATCCTTGTTGTCGCACTTGTCTGTCTCGTGCTGGGCCTTCAATGGGGAGGCGCCGTCTACCCATGGAGCGATGGCCGTGTCATTGCCATGCTCGTCGTTTTCGCCGTCTTGACGGCTATTTTCTTGACTATACAGATCTTTTTACCCAAGTCGCGCGCGATACCCACCACCATTATCCAGAACAGAAACATCTGGTTCGCTTCCATCTTCGCCCTCTGCAGCTCGGGAGCCATGTTCATCGCGGTTACCTACTTGCCCATCTACTTCCAGGCCATCAAAAACGCCTCGGCGCTTTCGTCGGGTGTCATGGTCATGCCGCTGATATTGGGATTCTTGGTCATGTCCATCATTTCTGGCATCATCACAAACATTACGGGCTATTACAATCCCTCCATGCTGCTCTGCACGCTTCTGGCCTCTGTCGGTGCTGGTCTCATCTCGACTTTCGACGTAGACACGCCTCAGCCGAAATGGATCGGATATCAGGCGCTGCTCGGTTTCGGCATAGGCTTCGGTCTCCAACAACCCATAGTATGCGCGCAGCATGTCCTTGCTGAAGGAGACGTGCCTTTCGGGGTCGCCTTCATCAACATGATGCAAATGTTGGGCGGAGCCATCTTTGTGGCTGTTTCACAGAATGTCTTTCTGAATAGGCTTGCCACGGGTGTCGCGAATATTTTGCCAGGGTTCGATACCCGCAAAATCATCCAAGGCGGCTTGACTGATTTCAAAAACCTCTTTGATACGGACCAACTCCCGAAAGTTATACCCGTCTATGCTCATGTCATAGGTGTCGTTTTCCTCATCGTCACTGGTTTATGTGCGGCAACCTTGCTCGGTGCGGTTGGCATCCAGTGGCGATCTGTGAAGATGCCAAAAGCAAGCCAATCCCGAGAAGAGCAGGAGCCTTAGGTCTATATGTGTCGCAATTGACATAATGAAGGATTTTCTACCTAGCTTAATCTACTCCCATAGTCTGTTTTGGCAAGTCTTTTTACATAGAGTTATTCATATCATAATACAGAGGAATTTCTATACCAAATCTCTAAAAATACCCCTATATTCTCCTGCTGCATCACGATACTAGTTTCTCAGCGTTTCATCTTTTCCTTGGTCAGCTGTCAAAAGTTTCACTGCGCCAGTATACACACCTCTTCCCTGCGCCATAGTATGTTCTATATGTTCTATACGTGAATATCCGAAACGCTGTAAACGCACTTATTTAAATCACCGGGTCGGCCTCCGACCGGTGCTTATTTCTCGGCACCTGGCTCGGAGTACTAAGTGAGTAGGCTGCATGCTGTGTATGCGATTACACCAAAGCTCATTTTCCGAAACCACCGCGCCGTGTCGCGCCGTAAAGCGTCAAATCCCTTTGTGGCCGATGTGTCTGTGCTCGAATACGGTCGCACATTAGCTACTCGAAACCTCGCCGGGGCAATGAACAAGTCTTTGACAATCATCGTCTTCTAGTCTATAGAATCGCAACAGTCATCTCCACGACACCTTGCCACAGTGAACAATTACATCATTCACGGTTTCATCCCGCAAGATATCAACATGGGCTCGCAGAAAGACAATTCCAGACATCCCGATGTCCCTCAGGACAAATTAGTTCTTTACGTGCGGAAGGGTATGGCAATCGAGCTCCCAGCTCCTGAACCAAGACGTGTCCTGTGCTAATCCTGAATCAGCTATTCCGGCCCCAACCGCCAACAGTCTCAAGCCTCTCATGATTCTTGAAGCTCTTAAAGTCCCTTACTCAATTCACCTGATTAAATCTCTGCCAGACGAGCTTTGGTATCATGAAATCAATCCCTACAAGCAGCTTCCCGCCATGGAGGATGTTGATGTCTTTGAAGCCGGGAATGGGGAGAAGCGGCGATTGAACGTTTTCGACAGCACTTCAATGCTGATATACCTCTGTGAAAAATACGACAAAGACGGCCTCTACATTGGCAAGACGGCAATCGAGCGCGCCCAGGTCATGAACTGGCTCATTGCGTACACTGCAGGCTTGGGGGCCACGGGCGAGTGGTGGCTCAAGTTGCGCAACGATCCTCAACTTGCCCCCGCACTTCAAGTCGTCGAAACTGCCATCAAACGAGAATATGACATCTTGGAAAAGAGACTGAGCGAGCCTGGCCAGAAATGGGTGGCCCTGGCCGATCGCCCGACCCTTGCCGATTTTGCCATTCAACCCCTTGCCAACCCTAGGGTTGCGAAAAATGCCAGGATTGATTTTGATAACTGGCCAAAGACAAAGGCGTGGAGTGAAGCTGTTGATAAGCTGCCTTATATCGAGAAGGCTATGTTTGAGAACAATAGGCTGGGGATGACTGAAGAGGAAATTCGAGTACACGGTCGATGACTTGTGTAATCTTTGGTAGTGAAGGGATATCCTCGCTCTAACCATGTCATTTAAATTTTGCATTTATATATTGGTTCTTGAAACAGATAATGTGGAATATTGTGAAACTTTCGGCGTCTCAAAATAGTACTTGGACAGTAAGCGATATCAAGAGGTCAAGAATGCCCAATGTGCTTCTTTTTGACGAACAATTTTACACCATAGTCAGATATTAAAAAGCAGTAACACAGGCTTGATAGTTTATTTCTACCTTGAATGTGTCTTCCTCATCCCGTTTGGCTTTGGAATAAACTGAATGGTCGTCTGCGCAGTATAATTTCCATATCTGGGATGGGTACCCAGGTATCCATAGACGTATCTTCCTTTTTGGCCTTCTTACCTACAGGGATGTCTAGGGAGTACAAATCGAGCAAATGAATGACAAAGTATTTCATCATCATCTCTGCAAAATGTGACCCCAAGCATTTCCTGCTTCCCATGCCAAAAGCAAACAAGTTGTATCGCAGCTGATATAGTAGATGAGCACCCAGTCCGCCTCGAATAATTAATTTTGTATATAAAACTCACCTCAAGGTTTTTGATTGACCTGAACCGATTAGGGTCGAAGATCTCGTTTTTCTCACCCCAGAATTCGCGGTTGTAGTTGATGGCTAACGTGTTGACAACAACAGAAGTCTGGAAGTGTTAGTTGGATGTGACCAGCGAATTCACGAAATAACGCCACTCACGTTTCGAGGTACTCTGAAATTTTGGAGCACCTTGTCTTTAGGAGAACTCTCGGGTATAGAAAATACTGCACCGTAAGGTCAGCTGTGCGCCTACTCCAATTCAGCTCGTGATTTTTCTTACCCGTAAAAGGACGAAGCCGAAGTGTTTCCAGGACGGAATACGCCAGTAACGTATCTTTTCGTGCGCAGTAGCTGTCCAAATCCTTCTCATTCTGCTTGAGCTCTTGCACAAGCTGGTTCTGTATGTCTTTGTACTTTGCCAAGTATATCACAAGCCATGACAGATTGCCCGTTGAAACATCCAAGTTGGCAAACAGGATCTCACTGAGAGTATGGACGACCTGTTTCGTGTCAAAACTGAGAATTTTAAGCTTGACAGCTTGGCTGCTTACCTCGTCTTCAGTCAAGGTGCCATCAATGACCTTCTGCCAGATGGAAACGATGGGTGGTTGAAAGCCATTGTTGAGTCTTTTGTGGTAGATCCGTCGATTGAACTGTGTCCAATCGTGCGAAAAACTCGCGAGACGATGGGCGGCACTTCTATGGAAGTAACGGGCGATGGGGAACCTGAACAGTCCGCCTGACAGTATATGTCCCATCATTTGCAGATTGCGCTGGCCAAGTTCCCATAACTCGAGCTGCTCTTCACAACTGAGCTCCCCATACAGATGGCTAGCTGTACAAAAGAATGGAAATCGCGAC